AGAAAGACTCTTTTTTAATTTAATGTGCAAATATAATTTCACTGGAACTCAATTTCCTGCGACGCAGCTGTTTAAAAGAGTCCGACGCAAATTTAAAGCAAATTTAGGGAAGTAATGGGAATTGAAGGAAACTCAAACAGAAAGCTAACTGAATGATTGTATAATGTCCACCAAAGCGACACACCCTAGTTTGCCCACAGGGGTGACACCTAACGATATGGTGCCTTTTGCCTAATCTATTTACTCAGTAGAAAATATTGCTTAGTAAAAATATATATTATGTACATGCGAGAGCGAAACATATGTTTTAAGTAAATAAATCTATTGTATATTATCTACAGCGCCGCTATTAATATACGAGAGTCTCCAATAAAAATAATTATAAGAAGTAATGTTCAGTGTCTACTATTATATATATTATACCTAGTATTTATATGTCAGTTATCTGTTTCTATATCGTAATTAAACCTCGCAAGTCGCAGCCCTACAGCGAGGCGCTCACGATCCAAGTGAACTCAAAGTGAAACAAATTAAAAGGAACCTCTTATGAAAGTGCACGTATTTATGTTTCGCTGTTGGTTTAGGTCCTCTCGCACTCGCTCCCGCACTCATTGCCGTGACTTCATTACAACTTGTTACGAACAGAATAATATGGGTATTTGCTGTTCTGATATATTTGATCAGGACGATACGACCTCATTTTCTTATTTAAATATTCTTCAAGCATATTATTGTTTACATTTTGCCTTTGGTAAGTTATGATATTAAGTCAATATTTGGGAACGAAATATAAAAAGAGCTACCTAACTATCAAATAATATTATCGTTTTTTTTTCCTTATGTGAAAAAACAATTAAAGGGCGAAAGTTCTCTAATGATGGAGAGCTTATAGGCGCATTTAAAGAGATATGCGGTAGTATTCCAAATGGTTTCTAGAGCGAAGTATTTATTATATGGTTCGAACGTATGAGAGCATATATTAGTGCTAATGGAAATTATTTTTAAAAAAATAAATAAATAAAAAAGTACGACAAAACTTATGTAGTGACCTAGTACAATATCAATAAAATTAAATAAATATACGTCTTAGCATTTTTCAAAATTCATCCTATAAGGGGGTAAAATAGGGGATGAAAGTTTATATGAAACTACCTTTTTAGAGATTTTTTTTGTAGTTTTAGCGCGAGCGAAACCGCGAGCTCTGCTAGTACGATTATATTTTTGAAGTAAAACTTCTTTAGAATCGTTGTGATTTGAAACTCAATGAAACGGAAATGCGACACTAAAAAGAGACAAACACATAAATATATCGGATTAAGCCGGCGAGAGAATGAGATAGAATACATTGCCCTTTTTATTGTCTGACAAATATATAATAATATATTCTTTCCGTTTATGATATTTTATAAATATATGATTGTTATATGCCTAATATGCCTCATTTATTTGAGATAGAATACATTACACAGGAAGTGAAAAATAATAAAATTAATCACTGAATAAAGTGTAAATTATTAAATAACTTTTAAACTTGGTAAAAACATTATAAAAAAAAAAACCTTATAATCATCCTTTTTTTTTTTTTTTTTTTTGTTATCGCTGGGGAAACCCATCATGGGGACCCTACCGGCCGTCAATGGGTAGGGTACTGTGAGACTCCTACTCACTAAAACCCACAGCGGAACCCGTCGCCGCAGTGCAATGGGGTGTGCAGGATCGCTTGCGCATTCACTGCAACACCCTATAATCATCCTGCTCCAGGTACTCTATATTCATCTCATTCTCTCGTAGGTTACGTTTCCGAAGTTTCACTTCTACCATGTGTGAATGCAGACACACACGCACTTTTTTCATTTATATAAATTACAAGGAATAGTGAGAATAAAATATACAAATTGAAGAACACTATTCACAGTATAAAGGTTTTCGTTTAAAGATTGTATGTAAACATTAGCGTAGCTATCTTCAAACTCCTATATTAGATTCAATACAACTTATTCCATTAAAAAAGCAGTCACGTCCGAGTAAAGGCTTTCACTAAGCTTTAAAGTCCACCTAAACGTCGTCAAGGGGCTACGGTTTAATCCGCGTATAAAATTTTATTTGTATACGATGAGTTCTTGTCTCCAGCGCCGGCCGCGCCCCCGGCCGCCCGCGCCCGCCCGCGCCCTCCCGCGCCACGCTTACAGGACAATTACACATAATGTTATCGCCTTCCGCAATTTATATTTTTATTTTTTCCCTTAAAGCCATTTGAATATCACCCGAGAACGCCCTCCATTGTTCCGAAACCCGGATAAATATACTTTAAAAATGCAAATATTATTCCAGAATAATTCTCTTTCATCTCATCGTAAAATTTTGATGAGGCCTGGCTAATGTTACTGAAATCTTATAACGTCGGAGTAACCTTCTATAATTTAGGCGAAATAGAGAGCGTTCATATTCGTATTAAGCGAATAAATTGTGCGGCAAAGTTAGTGTAGTGTAGGAGATAGTCGCCGGCATCACCACGCGCCCGGCGCCGTGCCGGACAGGGCCGCTCCGAGACTTGCAATCTATATGGTAATTATGTATTTAAATCGATTCGAAGTGCGATAAACCAACCTATGTACACACACAGAGTGCTGTCACCTATTTCTGCTGCAGAGCAGCTAATGAGCTAATTATTGGGAAGGCTCGATTAAAGAAAAACTTGTTATTACTATGTAATATTATAGTTTTAGTTTAGCTTTTCAAACAGTATACCAGTTATCAATATGCGCAATATATTACTTACCGAGTAAAATGTGAAAGTTGTTAGTTTCACACGTAAATCAAACGATCTGTGCGATTTTTTTCGTTAATAAAGATTATAAAGCAAATAATGCAACATAAACAAAAGTAATGTTTTATTGTATTGTAAATAGTTTAACAATAAGTTTAAGTTATGTAATAATTCATTCATAAATAAATTCAATAGATTATTTTAACTTAATAATAATATGATTGGCCCCAGAACTCGGAACCAAATCCTCTTAACCTGCTGCAGTATATGCCAACGATTAACGAGGCAGTTTATACAGGGTCATTTTTAATTTACTAAAAACCTTTTGGGAACACACTATTTACAATATAACAACAACATCTGTAAGAAAAAAATTAATATATCTTAAATTTAACCAAAATAAAAATATTTTTAATGCACCTTCTAAACCGTAATAGTCCAGCATTAGCAAAAGAAGGTGCCTGTCCGGTGGAGGGGGAGGGGTGGAGAGGTGTAGAAAGCCGCGCTTACTCATTTAAACTTGGCCAGATGCTAGAACTTTAAAGTTTAGAAGGTGCAAAAAAAATATTTTTATTTTTGTATGAAAACAAAAATTACAAAATATTATTTTTTCTTGTTACAGATGTTGTTGTTATGATGTAAATAGTATATTCCCAAAAGGTTTTCAGTAAATTAAAAATGACCCTGTATACTGAAATAGCAGAGTATTTAAAAAGGTTTAACTAAATAAAACATATGTTCCTAACGTACGTACTTATACGTAGAATTGAACTCGCACCAATTAGCTGAACAATAATATAACAATAGTACAATTTCATTAAAGTTTGAAGCAGTACAGTAAAACCCACTTCACTGTCACGACATACATATTACTCAATATTAACCTGCAAAGCGTCTGCTGACGAAGTTTCAATTATACGGCGGTTGTAAACGAGCTGGGGATGTTTCGGGGCTTTCCAAACGTATAATAGATAGGGAATGTTACAAAACTTCACGGTAGTCACAATCAATTACCAAAATTTATTTCCTTTCGGATGTTTTGTTGTTCAAAAAGTTATATAAATATAAATACCAAAATTATATAATAATTTCTAACATAAATTCAACACTCAAGATGCGCTCTCGCTCCTGTTATTACGCTTAACAGCATATCATGTCGGTTGATTGATAATATTATCAATTATGTAATTATGGGATTATCGTAAGAATTACGTGATTAGGTACTTACTTACTGTACGCTCTGTTACGGCGGAGATGTAACGGGGCTTAACCAAAAAAACATTCGCATTTATAATATTGTACTATATAGTGAGGACTGTTATAGTAATAGGTCGCTACAGATACCCCAGTCAGCTATAAGATGGGGGATGCTGAAGCAGGATATCCTTTGTTTTAATCTAATACAAGTTCTTTAAAACTTAAATAGAAATTTAATTAAGCACCCTTTCGTCTTACATTGTTACTCTGTAGGTCTTGATAAACTAGCAATCCGTCCTCACTTCACTTTAGTGCCAATAATCTCTTTATTTCTCCATCTTTTGTGGAAACGTGATTAAAATAGTTTATTATGTTACGTTCAATCCAATGTTCCAATCATTCTAGTAAAAGTCCTGTTGAAATTAATTCAGGTGAGATAATTAAGTACAAACAGGCAGATATTTTCAAAAATAGTTTTAGATTTGGTATTGTATAACCATATGAACTCTAACTAGCTATTTTGAAGTCACAGACGTACTTTTATTTTTTACACATTTATTGATTGATTATTTTGGGAAGTAGATATAAGTAATAATTATATTATAAAACCTTACATCCGCACTCCTCGAGGCGCTATTTATCACGGCGTGTTCCCGAGCAGCCCCGTCCGTGACACGCAACCCTCATCAAACCTCGCGCTGCCCAAATTGACATTCCGAGTACACGCTATCGAGGACTACATGTTCCAAATATCGCTTTCCAATTCAATCTCTTAATCGCGCCCCAATTGATAAAGGAGACATTGAACTGTTTATTTTTTAACTAGCAACTACGCTTCGGTTCGCTCGCGTCTAATGTTGTTAAAAATTTACTAGCAGAGAATTGCAAGTGCAAGAGAAGAGCGAGGCTTATTATAAAACTTTCTATTTTCTACTTCTACAGAGCCACAAAAAAAATCAACTTGAATCTATTGTATTGTCATCCGACATCTAGTAATATCCATTTAACTTTTTTTAAATTAATAGTTAAATGGAGAATGTCTATAAAAAAGCCTCATTTCAAAGTCATCTCTAACATGCCGTTCGACGACGAGAATAATGACCGCTCGCAATGCAGGTTGAGCGTCGCTTGTGTGTATTTGTGCAGTTCCGAAGACATGCCGCAGCTGACAGCAGCGGGCAGCCGCCGGCGACCCGACACTCTCGCAACGGCAATTACACTTCTTATCAGACGAGATGCCGCTGCGAGAATGTTGATTAGACAACTTTATTGTGACGTCGTTAGCCGAATTATTGCTTGCCGAGCCATTCCTAGCTAATAGCCTCTTGGCTGCGCCCGTTGCCGGCGCTTGTACGTTTAAACATGACTAGTCTAAATATCTGATGACGTTTTGCCACAAGATAAATAAATTATAACGCTTTCGCTATCTTTCTTTCCGCCTGCTGTGCATCATCTATTGTTTATATCTTCTTTTTGTATATTTATTTGTGGTGTACAATAAAGCATCTATCTATCTATCTATCTATCTATCTATCTATCTATCTATCTATCTATCTATCTATCTATCTATCTATCTATCTATCTATCTATCTATCTATCTATCTATCTATCTATCTATCTATCTATCTATCTATCTATCTATCTATCTATCTATCTATCTATCTATCTATCTATCTATCTATCTATCTATCTATCTATCTATCTATCTATCTATCTATCTATCTATCTATCTATCTATCTATCTATCTATCTATCTATCTATATCTATCTATCTATCTATCTATCTATCTATCTATCTATCTATCTATCCTATCTATCTATCTATCTATCTATCTATCTATCTATCTATCTATCTATCTATCTATCTATCTATCTATCTATCTATCTATCTATCTATCTATCTATCTATCTATCTATCTATCTATCTATCTATCTATCTATCTATCTATCTATCTATCTATCTATCTATCTATCTATCTATCTATCTATCTATCTATCTATCTATCTATCTATCTATCTATCTATCTATCTATCTATCTATCTATCTATCTATCTATCTATCTATCTATCTATCTATCTATCTATCTATCTATCTATCTATCTATCTATCTATCTATCTATCTATCTATCTATCTATCTATCTATCTATCTATCTATCTATCTATCTATCTATCTATCTATCTATCTATCTATCTATCTATCTATCTATCTATCTATCTATCTATCTATCTATCTATCTATCTATCTATCTATCTATCTATCTATCTATCTATCTATCTATCTATCTATCTATCTATCTATCTATCTATCTATCTATCTATCTATCTATCTATCTATCTATCTATCTATCTATCTATCTATCTATCTATCTATCTATCTATCTATCTATCTATCTATCTATCTATCTATCTATCTATCTATCTATCTATCTATCTATCTATCTATCTATCTATCTATCTATCTATCTATCTATCTATCTATCTATCTATCTATCTATCTATCTATCTATCTATCTATCTATCTATCTATCTATCTATCTATCTATCTATCTATCTATCTATCTATCTATCTATCTATCTATCTATCTATCTATCTATCTATCTATCTATCTATCTATCTATCTATCTATCTATCTATCTATCTTTGCTATTGCTATTTGAAAACTTGAGACTGACGCATGTTCTCCGAGCTTCTGATAGTTTTGACAGTCAATAAGAGTATTTGGTTTGATATTAAATACAAACAATTATAATATTAACAAACAAACATTAAATAAGGAATATTTAAATATTCATAGTCAGGTTTTTTGAGTTAAAAAAATTAAAAAAAAACCTGCAACATGTTTAAAGATAGAGGCATCTCAAAACTTACGAGCCGCAAACACTCGCCGCGGCGGCGTCTTTGATAGTTTTTATCCTAATTTCGAAACGTTGGATTCTAACATTAGCGTGCCAAATTTCATTATTAAAATTGAGAATATATAAAAGCCATTGAAAGATTACTATTGTAACTCGTTGCCGCCGAGAAAAAACAAATTCTATTACACATAAATTGTATTTCATGATACCAAGGTTTACTTTTATTATTTACTGATATAACTGAATAATATAACTATTGCTTGGGGTTTTGTTCAATTTGTAGTTCTATTCAAATGAACCCATTTTTTTAGTTCACACTATTTTCCAAATGCTTGTTGTATAATAAAGATTCTAATTGCAATCTGTCCAATAAATATATCAGGGGGCAGTCATGTTAGATGCCCTATAGTCTATGCTCTCTTAATTCAAGGCACTATCTAACGTATAAATGCATATCAAAGCCCACTTTCGCGTCGCTCACACTTCCTAATTCCATTGCAATAGACAAAATATTTATCACAAAAACTACTACTTAATGTGCCGGGATCAATTAAACACGGAGTTATCTGTGTCACTTTCCTTCCATTACATATCTGATATCTCTATACAAAAATGCGTCGATCCGTTGTTCTGTGGTAACGTAAAATAAGGACAAACCAACATATACAGTATTAGCAATAGTTCAAGTTATGATTATAACTTAATTAACAGCGAGTGCATCGCTGCATAGCGCATACTCGCCGGCCGGCCCTCGGCACGCGGTAGGCACTCGGTAGATACCAGCTGTCAGTTCGTCACTTCGGTGTTATCGTAATTCAGTTTGGCGTAACTCCATAACTCCGCGAAGCGCCTCATCCAATTACAGGCAATAAACGACACCTCCCACTAAAACCTGACCCCCTCCCTCCCTCCCTACGTCCCTCCCCGCCCTGCTAGCCCTCCCTCGTACCTAGTACTACCCTCCATAGTGATTAGGTTACCTATGTTACATTCTCCACCACTCACCAGGCTCTATCATAAAATAGTCTTTTATTTTATTTAACAAGAATGTGTATTTAAATATTTAGATTAGATTTTTTTCTTTTTTTTTCTTCTTTTGTTTGTTGTGCAACTGAAATGGCTCCTTATATACTCGTAACCACATAAAATTTTAATGGAAGACTTCTAGAAAAAGCTGTGCATACTTTTAAATTAAATTTATATACAAATAGGTAACATTATAATGTTAAATACATGTTTTGTGTAAATTTAGTTAGCTAGCCTTTATAATAAATAAATAAATAAATAAACACTTAAAGCTTTATATACTATAATATAATATGTGGATAGATTGATTACATTAACGTTTTTTTATATCTAAAAAATCCCAATTTGCATTTTTATATATTTCTTGAACATTTTCATGAAATAACTTTTCACATTCTACAATCATTCATAAACTATAAACTTCACTTTTAATATTGAAATAATATGAGCGAAAAAGTGCTGTAATACAAAATTATTCTTAACAAACGCAAGCACATATTGGAATACTCATACATTTGAAATTTATTTTGTATTACAAAAAAATCCTGTCAAAAGTAGTTAACGAAAGCTAAGCTATATTTGAACCATGCGACTGCACTCAACGCATAACGACATTATGGGCATAGTTTTATTTATATCACGCTGCCACATAGTTGCCTTCGTTCAGCTCTCGCTATGTGACACGCAAACACTGGACGGAAGGCGAATTTTATATAAAAAAAAATTCAAGTTAGACGTTTGATGAGTGGCGTCAGGAAATGAGATACGAAACAAAGTTTTCCTGAAACCGTAGCCCGGCCGTGCTGCGACGTGCGACAGCGCGGGGCGGGCGGCAGGGCGGGCGGAGGGAGGGCGAGAAAGTTATTTATGACGTTGTTTCATTTCAATTTTCACGAAGAGCGTTGGTTTTTGTTCTTTTTCAGTCCGTGCTGTCTTTACATTATGGTTACTATATTAGTCGTGTCATCTTCAATCAAAAAAAAAGTTAAAAATATATCTTCCTAATGCAGTTTATTTTAAGACCAGCGAATCAGATTCGTCCCTAGTTTGCTTCCCCATACAAATTTTACGTTCCCATTCTCGCCCCCTTAAGGGATGATTTCCGGGATAAAAATGTCCTTTCCAGGATCTTAAACTATCTTCTTACCAAATTTCATCTAAATCGGTTTGGTAGATCCAGAGATTACCCCCTACAACTTTACAAACTTCAAAGCCAAATATACTTTTTTGAGAAGTGTGAAGTCTAAGAAAAGAAGGAATAATACAATTTTTTTAAGTACCTAATTCGAAACATTTTAAGTTTTTATTCGTTATTAAGTTTTTCTTTAATTTAAATAGCGCTATACAAATAGTCCGATCGCGATGAGCTGCACAAAAAATTAAAACCGGAAGTTTTATGTTTTTAAGACGTTTATAGCAAACAATACAAGTTTAGCAAACAGTTTAAAATGGTTTTGTTTTTCAATTTTGGCCTTTTTTTTTTTTTTTTTTAACGTTGGGAAATGCATTTACGCACGAAGTGTGGGACTCACCGGCGAAGCCAGTACTACCCACTAAAACCCAACAAAACCATCCCCCGTCTTAATGGGGCGTCGCAGGATCGCTTACGCATTCAACTACGACGCCCCGACGGCAGGTCTGCCGAAGCAGACCACAACAACCATGGGGTTGCTCCACGGTCCACTCTGCTAACAGAGAAGTACCAGGAGCAACCCGCATGGTACACCGCCCTCCGAAGAAGGCTGCCTCCCACCGCCCACCGAAGCGGGCCACCTCCCTGTGCGTTTCTTGGCTTCGCGAGTACACTACTGAGCCCCCCCACCACGACAAGGTGAACGCACGTTGGGGGGGTTTTCAATTTTGGCCTTGTAGTGACATCTTATCAAAAAATATTCTTTACAAAAGTTGTAGGTCTAGTAAAAATCTACGACTATTACAATAACCTCAAAGTTTTCGACATATTTAAAAAAAAACAATTTTGAAATTTTTCTTGTTCTTTTTTATTATTTTTATGTCTGCAAAAACTTTTTGATATTCATGAAACTAGAGGAATATAATCGTCAAAATACATATAATAACCATTTTTTTGAAATTGAAATGTTTAGCCTAAGTTACTATTTTATTATATGTAATCTAAATAAGATTTAACTGGTACTATATACTACTGGTACTATAATATAATATAATATACTATGGACATAAGCACCTGCCGCCCTGTAAGTGATTTTCAGTTAGCGTTTAATCTATAAAGTACTAGCAGAACCCGCGGCTTCGTTCGCGCTAAAAGTCATCCCCTATTTTACGCCCTTGTGGGATCAATTTCGAAAAATGCTAAAACACATATTTATTTCATTGTATTGAAGAGCATAGCTATTATTATAATCAAGTAATTCTGACAATAAATAATATTTTGGGTTGTATTATAACGTGT